ACATGTACATCATGGCAAGGCCCCTACTTGAGGGCTCAATCCTCACACAAGGCATTTTGGATATGTGTTCAGCTTCCTGACCCAGTATTCTGTTCCGCCTAACTTTAATCACCGGATCTGGGTCTTTCGTCTTTAGCATCATTCTGTAGCCCATTTTGACTGTGTATTGTGTGACATGAATGGGCTTTTTGCAGAGTCAGCGTTGCCGGAGGACCATGCCCACTCGTCTGGGTCAAACTCTAATTCTTGGATTCCTGTTTCAATTTGGAAGATTACCTTTGGCCAACTGCCTAATACTCTTACTTTTTGAAGCGTAAAAGAGCACAGGACTGACTGTTGTGGGTCTGTGTTGTAGACGGAGGGCGAACCTGAGAGAGATGGTTAAGGTGAGGGATTGGGAAAGAGAGAAGAGAGTTGGTGGAATGGATATAGAGCGGATATACCTCAGTAATTTTCGATATCTCTGCCACGGGATCTATTGCCGCAGATGATGTGGTCCCCACCTGGAGGAAACAAATGATTCAACCACCAGGGAGAGAGGATTGTCAAGAAAAGAAAAGAAATTAAAAAAAAAAAAAAAAAGTCAAGAGAGACAACAGTATTTTTCCTTCCTTCCCTTCTTTCCCCACCTCTTCAACCCCCCCCGCCCCCTCTCCTTAGGGAAAAAAAAAGAAGAAAAGAAAAGACTGGCTGTATGTCTATGGCTCTCCAATGTATTACAGGCTCAGCTTTCACAGCTATTGTCACATAACTATGAACTAAAAGAGCGCACTTTGCAAAACAAACGGTGAAAATAAAAAATTAAAAAAATAAGACAAACATGAAGGGCACAGTGAAACCATTGATTTTTCTCATTCTTCTTTTGACTCCCATTTCATCGTGCCTCTCACGTACAAGGCTCGCCACGCTGATGAAGTTGAGCGCAAGCTGCCCCCATCCCCGTGTACCGTAACAGCCCAGTTGTACCCTGTGAGACAGAGTCAGAGTGAAGGGGGCGGGGATAAACACAGGGAGGAGAGATGGAGAGCAGACAAACAAGGAGCGATGAAGGGAAAGTAAGGGAAAGTATGGAGTGTGGAGTGAAGATGAAGGCAAAAGAGGATAAGAAAAGGCTCAAGAATGAGTCTGTCCTTGACAAGAGAGGACATACATTTTAAGGATGAGGTGGATGAACACATGGAAGACCTAGCTGAGCATTCCCAATGCAACAATTGCCACGACGGGTGGAATTGAGCATGCCCACCATACACCCCCGACAAATGGCATGTCAATTGCAGGCCAAAATGAAAGAAGAACGATCACCACAAAAGAGGATGCATTCAGTATAGCGCCCATAGCCGCAAAATGGACATAGCTTCCGGATGCGGACGGTGCCTGGAGTCAGGAACGGTGGGACAGTCCTCTGCACACATGGATGCAGAAACCATGTCATTGTAGTGATTGTGACAGAGACGATGGCGGCTACAGCCGTGTTTGTGGCTGTGCAAAGGAGAAGGTCGCAGAGTGTTGGCATATTGTCTTGCTGCAGCACGGGCCCAGAGGAATGATCTTCGACATAAATGAGATTGCGGACGGTTTGTTGTGGCAAGAAAACAGCATCATTTTGTAAGAAATCAGTGACATCAATCATGGCATGGACCATGGTGCCGTAGTCCCACAGCTCCCAGTGGTCAGAGGCATGTACAATGGCCATGTAATGGCCAGGGGGCCATGCACAATGCAGGCAGAGATGTGGGATGGAGGATTAAACCACTCACCTGCTCGAGCATTGCGTAGTTCAAGTTGACGGTCCTTCATTGCTACTTGTAGGACAGCAATGGTAAAGCCTCCTTCACTGGTATAATTACAATCCTCTGGCTGTCGTTGGGGAAGATCAGCATCAAGTTGAAGGGCGATTGCAAGGAAGTCTGATGGTGTATAAAACGGGCTGTGGAGAATGTGAAGACAGATGTTAGTTGTTGTCAGACCACAGAGATTGGTGAGGTTCTCAGGCTTTGTTGGATGCTGGCCAACAATTTGCAGATCACCCAGATGGTGTTGCAAGCCCAAACTGTGTTGGGTTGTTTGCTGGTCAGTCATTTGCAGATCACCCATGTGGTCTGCGCGTGGCGGAGCACAAAATTGTGGTTCATCCAAACAATGCTGGTCAACCATTTGTAGATCCCCCATGTGGTCTACGCCTTGTGGGGTCAACTGCAATCCGGGTAGATCATGTTCCAATCCCTCGACGTTTAGGGCTGCATCCTGAGTAAGGACTGTACCTGGAGTCGGGAGTGTGCTCTGGGCAGTGGCTGCATCCTGAGCAGGGACTGTACCTGGAGTCGGGAGTGTACTCTGGGCAGGGACCACATCGTGTTGTACAAGTGAGTCGTGAATATCTAACACTCCAGGGTACAGTGGCTGCCTGCAGGCAGATGGACTGTCTGCAGGAGGCATATGAGCGGATATTGCTGTTTGAAACAAAGGAACCACAACAACCTGTGGAGGAGGCACAGAGAGAATCGGGGCAGACAAAGAAACAGGTTGCTGATCCTCGGACAAGTGACGAATCTGACGATGCCGCCGATGTCGTCGGTGATACACAACAAGAGGAGTAGTGGTGTTGCAAACAAAAGCTGAACTTGTACCTAACAACGAAGGTGGAACAATGGGAACAATGGAAACCGGAGAGTCTGTTCGCAAGCGAGACCATGGAGGAGATGGGGGTTGTGAGGAGGAACACAACCGTCTATGGCCAAGCACAGATAAAGATGAGAGGGGGGTGCATTGGGCAAGATTTCGGAGCAAAGGCCGTGAGCGTCGGAGAAATTGAGATGTTTTTTGCATTAGCTGCAGGATAGGAAGTTGTAGCAGTAAGAACTAAAGCAGGGGGAATTACAGTTAGGGAAACTGCTGTATTGAAAACTGCAGCAGTGGAAACCGCAGCAGTAGAAACTGGAGCAATGGAAACTGGAGCAGTGGATACCGTAGCAGTGGAAACCGCAACAGTGGACACTACAGCAGTGGAAACTGCAGCAGTGGACTTTGCAGCAGTGGAAATCGCAACACTGGACACTGCAGCAGTGGACACTGCAGGAGTGGAGACTACAACAGTGGAAACTGCAATAGCAGCGGATGAGCAAGCAGGGGCAGGACGGAAGCATCGTGGAGGCGAAGAAGAAATTGGATAATACAAGGACCATCGCAGCATGCGTCGAAACCACTAAGAGAGACGCGTCACATGCATAGGATAGCGACGTTGGCGGGAGCACATGTAGCAGGTCCACCTCTTAGCAAGGGTTGGTGGGGAATGCCCACGCAAAAGCATACGACGAGTAAGTGTTGTTGCCGCAGTTCGAAAGTCCTACCAATTGTTACAAATTTGTTCAAATCTGGTCAATTGCCCAGTGAACACACTAGCAGATTGATGGGAAGGGATGTTGGAGGTCGCACTTGGATACCGAATGATAGGGAAGTCCCAAGCAGCCGCTTTATCAAAGACGCCCATGCGAAGCGAGCCATCGGAAGGGACCCGTAGATGCATACCAGAGGTGGCAACTGGGTAACCGTTGCCCGTACCCGGCTGTACCCAACTGTAACCGGCAGGTTATGGGCAGGTACGGGTACCCTTCAGGCATAAATTTTATTTGTGGATTTCAGGGCGGGCACGGTTGCACTGCATGGAGATCACGGGCAGGCATGGGCAGATACTGGCGGTGAAAAGGGAAAATCCGCAGGTACGGGCGGTCAAGAAAAAAAAAAAAAAGCATGGGTACAACCGTTATAGGGTGGTGAAAAAAAGAATCAGATGGGTATGGACAGGTAAGCAATTTTGTCGGGTAACCGTACGTAATATCCACCTTGCCCCCCCTTCCCCCCCTTCCCTTCTTCCCAGGAAATATGCAGACCGGCAGAGCTGTTTTTTCGTAGGTGCAATTTTTTTCGGCACGAACGGCGAGAAACATATTTCGGGAAATAGCCTCCCGACTTTAAAATTGGCCACTTTCGAAATTGGAAGGTTCCAGCCTCGCCTGAGAGTTCCCCCTTGGAAATCGGCCGCCCGTCACCCGCCGTCGTTTTGTGTGTGCATGCCACTGCATGGCCATCGTCTGTCGTCGTGGTTGTACCCGCCGCCGTTCTATGTGTGTTGCATGGCCATGAGAGAGAGAGAGAGAGAGAGAGAGAGAGAGAGAGAGAGAGAGAGAGAGAGAGAGAGAGAGAGAGAGAGAGAGAGAGAGAGAGANAGAGAGAGAGAGAGAGAGAGAGAGAGAGAGAGAGAGAGAGGGGGGGGGAGGAGAAAGAACAGGTAAGTCTCCAACCCCGTGGTTGGCCTCATGCTACTTCCATCGATAGGATGAGCAAAATCGAATGAATCTTCCGCTGAGAGTGTGGGTCACAAATGGGGATGGTTAGGGGCTGTTGGGGACAGTTAGGGGCAGTTAGGGGCAGTTGGGGACAGTTAGGGGTGGTTAAAAAAAAAGGGGGGGGTGGGTGGGTCACAAGTGCGGATGGTTATTGGTGGGTCCATACAATTGTGGGTGGGTACGGATGGGTAGGGGTGAAAAAAAAAATGGTTGGGTATGGTACAGGTGGTTAACAAAAGGTTTGGGTGTGGGTGGCCATGGGTAGTTTTGAAACAGAAAGTCTATGGGCACTTATGGGCAGTTACTGTCTGAAGAGGTTCACGTAGGGCAAGTACACTTTTTTTTTTTTTTAGCAGGTAAGGGKGGGTGAAGGGCCGGTCGGCCATCTATACAGTGGGTATGGGTGGTTAGTTTTCAAAAAGGGTATGGGTAGGTAAGGTACAGGTATTCCAAAAAATCCCGGTTGCCACCTCTGATGCATACCTAAAAAGGTACACGAGGTAATTGTCCCCATGAAAGAACATCATCAATGAGGCAATAGGTGAAGGCATATTGTTGAGCAGCTTGAAGATCATGTTGACGAATGTCATCACCAAAGCGTGCTTCATCCTAATACAACGTCAGATTAGAAATTTTTGGGCCCGCATTCGTTCTCATTGGAATACCGATAATTTGTTTCCCAAGCGTGTCACCTCGTGTATAGAAAAGTGTTTTGTACAACAAAGCGAAGATGTTGGAGAATCTGAGAAACAGAAAGGGTATCCGGGCCCGAATCAGTTGTCCATTGGCCACAAAGAGGTCCTCGAATAACCATGTTGAGGGCAACGCTGCGTGAATGCATGCGAGCATGCCGAAGGGCATAAGCATGAGCTTCATCAACAGCTTTTGCCACGTTATTCAGAATGCGGTCATGAGGAAGGTTGGTGTACATTGTGGTAAAATCAATAGTGTGAGGAGAGAGGCCACGAAGAGACGATGCATTGTTTTTCAGGTCAATCGCTACCTCATCGGCACTCTGTACGATCCAGCACCGTCGAACACCAACCTGTTGATAGAGCTCAGTGCCTTTCTCGCGAAGAGTAGAAATCACTCCTTGCAAAGCAGCACTGAGATACAACGAAGTCGTCGTTGTACTAGCCACGGGTTTGTGAGGAGGTCGT